CATTTTAATTTGAAACACAGCAAAGAAGAACGATAACCTGCTCTTACAAGAAAAAAAATGTAAATAAACTAGCTTGCTGATCATTGTATTTTAAAAAATAAGCGCTGTGATGTAAATGTTGTCTGAGATGTCTTCTGTTTTGTTGTTGTTGTTGTTTTTTTTCTTACGCTGCCTGATATAATGATTGAAATCTAGAGTAAGTAGCCTCTATAAATAAAGTACTGCGAAGAGGGTAACTATTTAAGTAGCGTAACTTATCATAAGTAACATAATTTGAGGTATAATGTTATTGTAGTTATTTTGTTAGTAATGCAAAGTTATCAGTGTTATTGTATAACTAACGTAGAGTAATAAGTAGTATAACAAATATGCTTCAGTTTGTATTCGCTTTTGATAGATACGGGCGGGCATGTCAGCTGGCTAACCTTGGGAGATAAAGAATTTGTTTTTAGAACACTAAATCAAATAATTTTACGAGAATTTCGAAATAAAGTACTTAACATGATCCTTCCGATCAACTGATTCAACCACTGACTGCGTTCGCCGAAACAAGAACTTTCGTGTGAACCAGATCAAGGTCAGTAGACAAACTAAGCGTGTCCACTCATGGAAGTTAGACGAGGCTGTTACAGTCTAAAAACTTACCGCTACAGTTAGCGCTTAAACCTAAATAAGTTCGGAATTCGAATCCATGCGGTAAATATATTCTTAATATAAACTAATGACTAAATCATACTAAGCTGATCAACTAAGTTACTAACTAAACTAACTAAATACTTCATAACAATTGTATCGTAGCTTGTGTTAGTTTAGCATTGTCCGCTTTGTAAATATCGTGCGTTTCTGTCATTGGAATTATAGTGATATTAATAAACTTATATAAAAAACAATATTTTTTCAGGTCCAAGTTAACCAACCTAACTTTGTATATTTTATCTTTCCTTTTGTTAAAGTGAACAATCCTAACTTCCGGTGTACATCAAGTAGCTCTGCCACAACCAATTATTGGTTTGGTTTAAGAGTTTGACCACTTTCTCACTGACTGACTGGGTTTTCCAGTTCTCATATTTCTTTCTTTCTTTTCTGATGAGCAAAGAAGAACGATAACCTGCTCTTACAAGAAAAAAAAATGGAAATAAACTAGCTTGCTGATTATTGTATTTTAAAAAAAATAAGCGCTGTGATGTAAATGTTGTCTGAGATGTCTTCTGTTTTGTTGTTGTTGTTGTTGTTGTTTTTCTTACGATGCCTGATATAATGATTGAAATCTATAGTAAGTAGCCTCTATAAATAAAGTACTGCAAAGAGGGTAACTATTTAAGTAGCGTAACTTATCAGAAGTAACATGATTTGAGGTATAATGTAATTGTAGTTGTTTTGTTAGTAACGCAACGTTATCAGTGGTATTGTATAACTAACGTAGAGTAATAAGTAGTATAACAAATATGCTTCAGTTTGTATTCAATTTTGATAGATACAGGCGGGCATGTCAGCTGGCTAACCTTGGGAGATAAAGAATTTGTATTTAGAACACTAAATCAAACAATTTTTACGAGAATTTCGAAATAAAGTACTTAATCATGATCCTTCCGATCAACTGATTCAACCACTGACTGCGTTCGCCGAAACAAGAACTTTCGTGTGAACCAGATCAAGGTCAGTGGACAAACTAAGCGCGTCCACCCGTAGAAGTTAGACGAGGCTTTTACAATCTAAAAACTTACGGCTACAGTTAGCGCTTAAACTTAAATAAGCGGAATTCGAATCCATGCGGTAAATATATTCTTATTATAAACTAATGACTAAATCATAACGAACTGATCAACTAACTGAGTAACTAAACTAACTAAATACTTCATAACAATTGTATCGTAGCTTGTGTTAGTTTAGCATTGTCAGCTTTGTAAATATCGTGCGTTTCTGTCATTGGAATTATGATGATATTTAGGATTTTGTTGTCCATATTGTTGCGAAGGCGATCAATAAGATCAGTAACAGCAAGCTCGCAAGAGCGAGGTCGTTTACAGTAAGAAAGTTATGACGTTCTAGAATCTTAGAGAGAGTAGCAAGAACAGAAATCGGTCAATAATTAGAGCGGTCAAATAGAGAACCGTCTTTAAATAGAGGTGATACTTTAGCCTTTTTTCAAAGATTAGGAAAAGAACCTAATGAGAGGCTAAGGTTAAAAATTGTTGTCAGAGAAGACGCGATAGAAGGAGCCGAAAATTTCAGAAAATACCTACTAAGTCCATCTAGATCTACGGCTTTTCCAGTGGGTAGATGACGAAGACTATTAAGAACAAAGACAGATGTAATTGGAAGTATGGTAAAAGAAGCTCCCAGTGGAAGCTTGGACCTAACTAAGCCCTTCAGATAATCCCAGTTGGGAGTCGTACTTTCGTTTTTGTTAAGCACAACTGAGGAAGCAATATTGACAAAGTGAGCATTGAACAAGTTAGCAATATCAATGTGACTGTCATAAATTGTTCCATCAACCAATAGATTGCTTGGAAGATTGGAACACTGAGAAGGAGCTAAGTTGCGGATTATTTCCATAAGTTGCAATTAATGGAGTTACGATAGAAATCACGCTTAGCTTTCCTTATTAATTGGACAGCTTGAATGCGCGCCAGACGATACTCTCGCCAATGCAATTCGGTATTATACCAAATTGCTTGCCTATGTAAGTTTTTACACTGTTTGATCGCAGAGCTTATTGTAGCAGAAAAACCATTCAGGTCGGTGTTGAATTTTAATTCGACGTGTCTTCAAAGGCATGTGCATGCCAAGTACATTGTTAAATAAACAGTACCATTGTCCTAATGCTTTATTAGGATCATTAAACATTTCTAATGATCAAGGTTTTACTGGCAAATAATGAGCAAAACTAAAGAAAGATAGTTTCGTCGTGTCAAGAGCTTGGAAGAAAGAAAAAATTATAAGTTCTCAAAAGAAATCGAGTCCCCGACCCTCGGAATTCAGCGCTTTGATGTTCCGATGCGCGGAATCCGAAGGTCTGAGTTTGAATTTCTCATTAGGACTCAGAATTTCTCAATGTCTCTCTCTCGAGACAATACAAAAAACATCTTTCTCTACTTGACTACCGAACTCAAAATTTACCATCTTCCTTATTTGTAGTGCAAAACCTTTTTAATTAATAACCTAAACTTGCAATATTTTGCCGCAAGGTTTTCTGCATATCCTTCACTCTGCTCTATGTTGCTTTTGTTGTTAGTACTTGACAAAATGCTAATATTTTAAAGGTATTTAAAGATGGACTCAGCTCTTTCTTTTATGGTTTCTTGTTTGCCTTCTTTTCCACCGTTTAACTTACATACACCATGGTAAGACTCTGACATTTGGTTGTCGTATGATCAACAGGACGTAAGAGACAAGCATCTGTGAGCACAGGAGAGAATTCCACCACGAGTGAACAACGGCTTAATCACCTGGCCGATCAGAGGGAATCAAAAGACTCCATGAAACGCCCACAATAGACCTCGTTGCCATAGCAATAGTATGAAAAGAGAACGTAAACAAGGACAGTGCTTTTTGAGAACATGTGGGCATTCCGTAAACAACGTTTTATTGCTTACATCATTTCCATCTCATGGATGAAACACTCTCTGAGACGAAGGATATTTTTCTCAGCAAAAAGGAACATATCCCATATTTCAGAGACCTGTAGCGGAAGAACATTGCAGAAGGTACCTGGTGGCAGCGAAAAAAAGTCAGAACAACCTGGAAGAACCTGATTATAGAGCCTGAACTCTTCATGAAGCAGTTACTGTCGAGTCGATAGACTGCATACCATTGAAAGAACTGACAGCTGCCCTTTGATGGTAGACTGGCCAAAGAGGTACTGCGCAGGCGCCGAGTATGGCGGCCACGAGGATATTGGCTCCTCTTCTATTAGCTATTTTAATCAATTTTAAGCTTCAATTTTATTACAATATATACTTGGATGAAGACTTTGACTCTCTCAAGCCTATTTGGAGAGGAAAAAGTTCGGTTGGTTGCGACGTCTTTGGAATTTCCTTCTCAGCTCGTAAGTGCTACTCAACAAGGGCGCACCGCCATGATAGACTTCGAAGGCCTATCATGAAATGGGTTAAACATGGTTATATACTGCTTGCGGCGACGGATTGCTCCCTGTTAACGATAGACATTACAGTTTTTATGGATGTGGAGACGAACCCTGGTCCTATTTCTTCAGAGAAGAGCTATGATCTACGAAAGCAAACCTGGTCTGACGAAAGTAAGATTCCATGTTATGGAAGAAACTATTTACTCGGTTTGAGAAAGAAATCTGGTAAACCTTCGAGCCCTGTCTTAGAGACGCTTAAGAAACTACAGCTGCTCAGGTTTCGTGGTAATCGGGGAGGTTTGAGAAAAAATGTTCAGCATGTGAAGGAGAGAACTATTCAGAATATTTCTGTCGTCATTGGACGAAGGGCGGAAAGTGGGTTTGCTATTCCCCGGCTGCGGGTTGAAAAACGACGAAACCCTAGCAATCTCGTCAGTGTACCAAAACAAGTGGTGTCCCGCGAACACACCTCTGTTAGTTCTGGTCAGCTTGCTGTCCCTAAACTTTTGTTTATTAACATCTGTAGTTTGGGGAAAACAACTAGTCGGGTGCGAGCGGTTGTGGCTTTGGAGGCCGACTTAAGAAATAATGACATCGATGCTTGTGTTGTGTCGGAAACTCATTTAAAAATTGAGGTACCCGATACGGTGGTTAATATCTCGGGTTATAATATCTTCAGAAGGGATAGGAATTGGTCTGGATGCGATCTAAGGAATGGGGGAGGTGTTGCTATCTATACAAGGAGTAATCTTTCAGTTATTGATGTTTATCGTTCTAATTTATACGAGTTTATTTGCCTGACTGTGTTGCTGCCAAGTGGGAATTACATTCTTTTATCTGGTCTTTATCACCCCCGAAAACATCATACCAGCAATGCGATTTAATGGATTATCTTCTTAATTTCTTTGACACAATGCTGGATAATCACCCAAACGCTACTATTGTTTGCGGTGGCGATCTTAATCACCTTGATCTCACGAGACTTAAACGCATTACTGGTTGGACCGCTTTAGTGGATTTTCCAACACGAGGGGATTCATTTTTGGATAATTGTCTTACAAATAGGCCAGAGCTCTTCGGAAAAGCTTTATCTATAAAGATGCTGATTAAGACGGATCACATTGGATTTATAGTTCCAGCGGGCAAGAAACTCAAGCCTATTCGTAAGAAAGTGCAATTTAGGGATTGTCGTGAGCATAGGAAGCAAGCTCTTTACCTTGCCCTCGCATCAGAATGCTGGGATGATGTTTTGGAGGCGGATAGTATCGAAACAGCTGTGAACATCTTAGAATTGAAGATCCTGTCAAATATTAACTGGTGCATGTCTTTACGAACGGTTTCCCTTTCGTCCCGTGATCCAAGTTGGATGACACCGCTAGTTAAATACATGCTACGTAGCAAGTTTCGCATCTCTGTTTTACGCACTAATAAGCATAGAGAGCTTAGTAGAAATGTGTTGAAGGTTATTGGCGAAAACAGAAGGATGCTTCTGGAGGGCAAAATGGGGAGCAGAGAATGGTGGAAAAACGTAGACTTGATATCTCAACGCCGGCGGTCCACAAACGTTTCGCTGGATAGAGAGACCGCTCAAGATTTGAACGAGTATTTCGGTGACCTGTGTACGGATGGCGATTACGTTGAGCCCGCGTTACTTGAAATTGGTCCTGAGGTGAAAGTCCCGGAAATTAGTGAACGATATGTATGGAACTCACTGAGTACTCTAAAGAAGACTGCAACTGGTCCTGACCAAATTCCGTATTGGGTGTGGAAAGACCATGCGGAGATCTTCACTCCAATCATTACTAAGCTATGGAATTTGTCTCTCGCTACGCACCAATGGCCTAGATCGTGGAAAAGGGCAAGTATAAACCCACTGCCAAAAGTTGATGTTCCAGTGGCAAGAGGGGACTTCCGGGGGATCAACGTAACCCCTGTAATAGCAAGAGCCCTGGAAAAGGCAGTCTATAAGATTCACGCCCAAAGGCCGGTAGAAGAACAGCTGTTGAATAGTCAATTCGCGTATAGAGAAGGAGGGAGCTGCACAGATGCTCTGCTACTTATACAGAATAAGATCTGCAAGTTTCTTGATGATCCCAAGTGCAAGGCAGTGCGGATGTTCGCGATGGATTTCAGTAAGGCCTTTGACTCTGTGAGCCATCAACTCCTTGCTGAGAAACTTAAGAGTCTACCACTTAACCCGTATATCATAAACTGGTGGTTAGGTTTTTTGCGAGATAGAAAACAAAGAGTTATTTTCGGGAATCATGTCTGTAATTGGAAAACAGTTAACAAGGGCACAACCCAGGGTAGTGTTTCAGGACCTTATTTGTTCAATATATTTCTTAACGATCTGGAAATTAAATTAGGGAACGAGACACTTGGTTTCAAATACGCTGATGACTGTACGATTATTGCTCCGGTATATTATTATAAAGATCACTCTGTAGACTTAATAAATCAGTTTTTACAGTGGGCAAGCCAAAATAGAATGAATTCAAATTCTACTAAATGTAAAGAGCTTATTATGTATAAAAAAGGTCACACTGCTGAGGCCTACAAAAGTATTTTTGGCATACCTCAGACTAGTACAATAACCATTCTTGGTCTCACGTTTCAGCCGAACTGCAAATTCAGTACTCACCTAAAAGAAAAGTTAGGTAAAGCTAATAAATGTTTATACGTTATCAGATGCCTCCGCAAAGAAGGATGTAGCCAAGCAGAAGTAGATGTTTTATTTAATTCCATTGTCCTACCTAATATTACTTATGCTCTATCTGTGCATGGGGCCTCTGAGTCAGAGCTAACTATAGCCCAGCAGTTTTTAGATCGTTGTTTTAAACGTAGTTACATATCTAAGAAATTAGTGATAGGTGACTTACTTAAAACGCAAGATCACAAAATTTGTCGCAAGGTTTCAACTATCCTGAGCCATCCTCTTAGAGCCTACTTCCCTGAGACCAAGACCACGAGGTATAATTTGAGAAATAAATCCCCTGTCATGCCCGCCATTCGCACAAACCGTTTTAAGAATACATTTTTTAATAGAATTGTCTTTAAGTACAATGTAGCTTTGTAAAAGTGTACTTCCTGTATTAGACTTTTGTATTTGTTTCCACGTATATACTTATCTTATTTAGATACACCTAAGCTTATTTACATCCTTTTTTTTAATGTAACATAAGATATGTAATTTTATCTTTTGAACAATAAAGACACTTTGAAAGTATATGTCTACATGGAAAGATTTCAAATGGAATTGTAGTTTGAGTTTGAATCTAAATTGTGAGGGGAAGTTAGAGAATTTGGTGAGGGGAAAACGATTTTGGCTCGAGTTAGCACGAGGTTAGAGTTAGCCTTGGTTCGAGTCATCGAGATTCGACTGTATTCAACAAAAGGAAAGATAAAATATACAAAGTTGTGTTGTTGTTTTTTTTGAGCCTAAAAAAATTGTTTTTTCACATTAGTTTATTAATATCACTATAATTCCAATGACAGAAACGCACGATATTTACAAAGCGGACAATGCTAAACTAACACAAGCTACGATACAATTGTTATGAAGTATTTAGTTAGTTTAGTTAGTCAGTTAGTTGATCAGCTCGGTATGATTTAGTCATTAGTTTTATAATAAGAATATATTTACCGCATGGATTCGAATTCCGAACTTATTTAAGTTTAAGCGCTAACTGTAGCGGTAAGTTTTTAGATTGTAAAAGCCTCGTCTAACTTCCACGGATGGACGCGCTTAGTTTGTGTACTGACCTTGATCTGGTTCACACGAAAGTTCTTGTTTCGGCGAACGCAGTCAGTGGTTGAATCAGTTGATCGGAAGGATCATGATTAAGTACTTTATTTCGAAATTCTCGTAAAAATTGTTTGATTTAGTGTTCTAAATACAAATTCTTTATCTCACCCAGCTGACATGGCCGCCCGTATCTATCAAAAGTGAATACAAACTGAAGCATATTTGTTATACTACTTATTACTCTACGTTAGTTATACAATACCACTGATAACGTTGCGTTACTAACATAACAACTGCAATTACATTATACCTCAAATCATGTTACTTCTGATAAGTTACGCTACTTAAATAGTTACCCTCTTTGCAGTACTTTATTTATGGAGGCTACTTACTCTAGATTTCAATCATTATATCAGGCAGCGTAAGAAAAAAAAACAACAACAACAACAACAAAACAGAAGACATATCAGACAACATTTACATCACAGCGCTTATTTTTTAAAATAAAATAATCAGCAAGCTAGTTCATTTACAATTGTTTTTCTTGTAAGAGCAGGTTATCGTTCTTCTTTGCTGTGTTTCAAATTAAAATGGTTTTTTTGGGTGTGACAGGTCTCATCAGAAAAGAAAGAAAGAAATATGAGAACTGGAAAACCCAGTCAGTCAGTGAAAAGGTGGTCTTAAACCAAACCAATAATTGGTTGTGGCAGAGCTACTTGATGTACACCGGAAGTTAGGATTGTACACTTCATACCGACTAAAATTTTGCTTGCTATACCTGTCATTATCTTGAATGGACCCTGGTGCTCTACCAAATTCGCAATGCTTTTGATAGCTTCGGTGGACTAAAATGGACCCATCGGATTGATACCAAACCGCGGTGCACTTTTCACAGCTGTGTCCATGGACATTGATGTAATCGACGTGTTCACAAGTTTTATAACCCTCATAAGTCAACAAGTCGAAGTTTTTAAACTTTTCTCGAACGTAATCTCTATAGTCGACAACGCTCGCAGGATCGAAGCTGCAAGTTATTCGCCAGTATGTTGACTTAGATCTCAATCCTTTCATGCGATCTAATTGAAGCCTGTACGCCTCCCAGTTGGGAACCTCTGGGCTCATTGGCTCATTTGCAAACAAAGCCTGTCGGGTAAAAGGTTTGCCAACGTTCCGTAAGCTAAGAATTCAGATATATGAAAATTCATATATTTGCACTGCGGTGGAGAGATGAAATTAGAAGATCCTCGCAGCTAAGAACACTACTGAAACTAGTACTAGTACTAGTAGTAGTTTCAGTAGTGTTCTTAGCTGCGAGGATCTTCTAATTTCATCTCTCCACCGCAGTGCAAATATATGAATTTTCATATATCTGAATTCTTCATTCACTTGGATGTTTATTTGTACCCAATTCATTGACCAGCTCCCAGTTGGCTTGTTAGCTCAATTGGTAGAGCGCTGCACCGGTATCGCAGAGGTCATGGGTTCAAATCCCGTACGGGCCTGAATTTTTTCAGGTCCTATTTACAACTACTAGTTTCAGTAGTGTTCTTAGCTGCGAGGATCTTCTTGTTCCGTAAGCTTTCTGACATAACTAGTGTCCAGGCCCAACCGGGTTCTGAGGTGAAGTCGCAGTAGACTTTAAACATATCACCGTTGTTGTCTTGGATACAGAAAAAGCCTGATAGAGGGTTAATGGTCCGCTGCCTTGCCTCTTTGCAGCTACGTGGTGCCTACCAAAATTAAAAAAAAAAAACAGAGTGTAGAAGGGCTAAACTTCTACAAGCTCTAATAAGTTCAAGCTTCAGTAAGCTTTTCAACATTGAAAGGTTGTTTTAGGAATACTCCTCTCTTCCTCTCTCCCGTTCATTCTACTCTTCTCTTCTTTGGTTTTGGTACTTAACTTTTGAAAATGCTGAGATTCTAAAGTTATTTAAAGAAGGATAAACAGAGATGGAAAACACAGCTAAGTTACCTTTCTTCGCCGTGCGAAAACATAACCAGCTCTTTCCACCAAGTTTTCCTGATCGCCCTCTTTTCCGCCGTTTAATTCACAAATGCCATAGTCGGACTCTGACATTTGGTAATTGTATGATGAACATGACGGAAGAGACAAGCATCTGTGAGCACAGGAGAGAATTCCACCACGAGTGAACAACGACTTGATCACCTGGCCGATCAGAACGCGGTTGTAGAAAAGAGAATCAAAAGATTCAGTATACTGCTGACAAGAACGTTCATGGGCATAGCAGTAATAGGAAAACAGAACAAAACAAACGATAATCTTTTTGGAGAACATTTTGGATGAAGCTGCGATGTGACCAGATAAACGCTCAGAGCTTTATGGCATGTGCGATGACAAATTTGTGTTTAATGAAGCCTTTTACATGCGACAAAACATTATTATTTATTCGGTAGCCTCTTCACCTGTCCCAGTTGAGGAACTTGTTTACAAGAAACGTTCGTTTAGTTCAATGGAGAGGGTTACTTTACAATAGAAGTCTTTACATAAACAAACTTTGAGCAAACAATGGAAGATCATTATTGCAAATTTAACACGCTAGGGTGTAACGAAAACAAACTTCCATTATCGACATTGAACTCCCGAACGAAAACCGCCAACGGACAATGTTATAATATTCAGGAGTCTTTATCTCTGTTAAAGTGAGTCTCAACCTGCTGGAAAGTATCAAACACGTTGATCGCAAAAGGTGAGTACAATTCCTTTCCAATCGCAGCGTCAAAGAAAGCTAACGGAGAAGGAGTGAAGGACCCAAAATATTGAACAGAGATAATCTGAAATTCAAATACCAAATACTTCAAATTTGTAAACTTAGAATAAACTTTACAAGTCAGCTTAATTAGCTGTAGTGAGTACTTCTATGTCTTCTATTTTAATACTTTGTTTTGCAAATTCATGTTGCACTAAGGTTACGGACACACTTTGAGAACTCTAAGAGATGGAATTTTCTCCATAATTTAGTTTGTGGTGAAGTAATTTCCTTTGACTAAATCCATTACTTTGAGCAGGTTCGCTTCTGTTATGTAAACGCTTTAAACACGCGACACGGACAAATTCTAAATCCTGTGGGATTTGCCTGGAACACCAACATGGCGACGGACTAAACGTTTCCAATTACGATAAACTTTGAACAAAGATATATATGTATACCTAAGGTTTGATATTTGGCATTCGGAATGACAAATTTGAAGATTTCATAAAGCATCATATCGCACTGCGAATAAAATTGAAGAAATGTAAAATGGTTTCCGTGTTTACATAGCCTGATGTAAACACGCGGGAGGTTGGGAGAACACGAGATAAGCGTAGGAAACCACGACGCGCGTGTTTACATCAGGCTATGTAAACACGGAAACTATTTTACACTTCTTTTATAAAATAACTAATGGAAGAGGAACGAAAACCGTGTTTACATACGCTCATTTAAAATGGTTTTATGGCCGATCAGAGCGCGCGTACGATTTGAATTATTTTATAAAAGATATTACCAGATTTTAGGGTCAAACAACATTTCCTAGAAAAGAAAATAGCAACGGGCCACCTTAAACCTTTATAGAATCATTGCTCTAGAGAATTCATAGCCGACGTAATGTGACTTGACTTGGTTAACCTTTTAAAGAAAAAAGGAATTGTAGAAAAGAGAATCTGTTATTCTTGGAAAATTACCGTGTAATTGCAGATCCTTCGCAAATTTGCAAAGGTTTCAGTATAGTTCAGTTGGTTGAACACAGTTTTATGCGCAATCTCATAATGTCAAACATCATTACCAAATACATATGGGAAAACAAGCTTTTCTTAGTCATAGTCTGCAATTTATTTGCGACATACATGGGGTGTCATAAAAATTGTATTTCAGTTTAAATTTTTTCTCACTTTGGTCTTTGCTTAAAAGGAAAGTTAAAAATTTGTTTGAATTTCTGCGAGCTGTAGTGGGTCAAGACCGATATCCCATGGATTCTGGCGAGTGAGCGAGGCATTAGGTAATATAAATTGCGTAGTACTGGAACGGGCTCTAAACCTGAACTATTTACACTCAGCGATAGGCAACAAAGTCTTAATGTCGTACCCAGATCCTATCGTGCAATGGCCACTTGGTCGTGAAAGGTCTGGGTACGAGACTAACAAAGTCGTAATTCCTCATCAAGTATCCTCAAGTGTATGTAACTAGAATCCAAACTTGTGAATACCTCTGGTTGTCGAGGTCGTTGATTTCCTTTCCGAAAAAATGTAGCTTGACTTAGGTTAGATCCGAGATGTTATTTAGCGCAGCAGTCAATGCCAGACTGGGAAGCATTTAACACTTCCCATATCATATACTCATCTCTACGCATTTCCTTTGGTACTGACACGGAGAATTTGTTTTCAAATTAAATTTTCTCGGATCTCCTGATCTTCTGATCTTGATGAGCTGTTTAGCAGTATTGCTGTAAGGAAAAATTAGATGCTGGTCGCTCTTAGGCTTTCAAGAGTAAACGAATGTCAAACGAAAACATGATAAAAACTCAAAAAAAAAATATTCTGAATCATGGCATAAAAATCGATGACTAATGCATTTTAAAATTTGGAAACCTTTTGTGCCAGCTGAAATAACCTTGCGTTGCAGCTCAGAAATCTTATAAATAAACTCCTAAAACATTTAAATACTTTACAGCAAAATGTTGAAAAAAAGGCTAATTCTGCCATCGGCACGAAATATTAGGTAGGCAGAGAAAGTTGTTGTTCGAAGAAATCTATAATTCTGTCGTCGTTATTGATTTTTTTAGTATTATGAATATATGGAAAACCAGGCCACATAATAGGTTCGTATAACCTCTGTGATTCAGTTTTGTCTTCCTGTCATGTTTATCGCTTCATCAGGATGTATAATGATTTCATAGTTTTTTCTGATTTTCAAAATAATCACATTTAGAGGGCACACCATTAAAACCAATTTAATGACTACAGCCAATCAGAGGAGACGAAAATACCATGAGAAGTCGATCAGAATTCAGAGCGAAAATAAGCAAGCTGCTTGACGAAAAACACGATTGACCAAGTCGCAAATGATTATATAAGTTTGAATCTTTAAATCTGAGAATGAATGTAAGAATGGTGCGATTTTCCTGAACGGGAACCAAACAGAAGTATGGTCAAACCAATGCAATACCGGATTATTTTTGAATTTCAATTCACGGCATAATTCGTCGTTAATCATGGATAAATCAAGGGAAGTCTTATGTCTCTCGTAAAATTACAGTGAAACACACCTGGAAGAAGAATCTGGTAATTTACCGGTACTGTGTGTTTCGAAATTGAAAGATCTTAATTAATCGTCTTCTTCATTACTTAAGTTAACCTGATCGTAAGTCTTGACAATGTTCGATGTAAGCTGTTGAAATTTAACTTCATGATGCACGGTAATTTATTCCCTTTCGACTTTTAAATGTTCTGTTTTTATTTTTTATCCAGTGGACGAGTCCATTATGCTAGACCCTTCTGCAAACAACATCATTTTTAGCCCTGGTAAGGTTTCCAAAAAAGCTGCACCGCGCGCCGATAAGATTGTTTATCACAAGGCAAGATAATTAGTCATAATAGTTTATATATTGTCGCACTCGCTTCCGTCACTCTGTAATTAAAAGAATCCTCTTTTACCCATCTGCATTTACTTATTTCACGGCGTTTGTTTTAACTCTACTAAAGAAATCGATCTGTTTTGGCGGTTATTGCACGGAGCAGACATGAAACTAGAAGTGCTACTTTTATTTTTCGTTGGTCGTATGTCGGGCCATGGCGCAGAGGACTTCTGTCTAGAGACCAAAAGCTCGATATTGCACGATCATGTTCTAGTTGGCCATGTGATTACTTCGTTGGTAACCCGTGGATTTCTCTCTTGTGCTCAAAGATGCCTGTCAATGTCGCCGTGTTCGTCATTCAATTATCAAACGTCAGCGGTAAGAGATGGCATTTGTGAGTTGAATAACAATGAAGATGGAGCGGTTCGTTCAAAGGTGACTCCGAAACATGGATTTGCCTTTGGCCAGATACAACGAAAAGAAGTAAGAATTTTAAATTACAGTGATCAACATAGATTGCAGCGAAAACAATATTCCTTGGGTCAGTTTTCACCTGCTTTAGTATTCATTTCATTTTTTTTCTGTAAACGAGATTTTACAGCATTATTTGCCATGTACAATAAACACATATATCGTGTTTCTTATTGACCTAGCTGAAAATATCAAGTTTATGAAATAAATTTCGTCGTTATCAAATCGTTCAATTTATTAAGTATTCAATAGAGTTAATTTTTGTAAAATATATTGAGGTAACAGAAGGGCAAAAAATATTGACCACGAAAACACAATCAGCCTGTTTCAGTGATTTTTAAACTCTTGATTTTTACCCTTCTACCATGAGGTTGATCACAGCTGTGAGATGATCATCTAGCGAAATAAGAGTCATAGCAAAACTATAAGAGTTTGTATGGGAATATTTACGATCTTCATAAGAGGAGTCTCTCATATAGTAAACCTAGGAATGGATTATTCACTGAAATGGGTTCTTCTCAACAAAGTAAGCGGTCAGATAACAATCGATGCACTGTGGAAGTAAGGTGAGGTATTTTCGTCGAGAATTTGATTGTATTTTTTTTATTCTCAAGAGCGGTCGTAAATATTCCCATACAAACACTTATAATGTCACCATGGCTATTATTTCCGTCGCAAATTGATCATTTCACAGCTAGAGCTTGAGCCGCCTGTGGTTAAACTTGTCAGTCAAAATCCCGATCAAGTACACATCACCTTGTCAAAAAGAAACGATAATATTTGAAGATACACAAATTTAGAATAGTTTTCTTTTTTATTCGATGTCAATTGCTGTGTTCCATCGAAGTTTACTTTCGTTGTATGATCGTGTCAAATTCCACCACCATTACTCAAACACAATAAAGTGACAAACATCATTTTTCTAATTCGTGACTTTATTTTTAGTACAACTATTAAAAAATAAGGCCTACCACAGGCTAACAGAAAAATATCTCGTTTTCTAAACGCCTCTATATAAAAATATATGGCGGATTTTTCAATCAAGAAACGTCAAACCTGGCATGTTATATCAAAATATCATGAAATATTAACAAAACACCTTTTGGTTCTATCTTTTTTTACCGTAAGAAACCGCACAGCTGTCTAGAAGCGGCGCACAGAGGTGCCCGCGCATCTGGTTTCTACTGTATCCAAGACGGTGACGGTCATCTCTATAAAATGTATTGCGACCTGGCCTCTGAACCCGGTTGGGCCTGGACATTGGTCACCTCACAAGGCTTAAGCAACAGGGAGGAACAGTTTGCGTCGGTAGGGCTACTTGTTGATTCTCCAAAGAATACAGAAATGGCCAATTGGCAAGCTTACAGACTACCGTTAAGTAAAATGGCGAAATTAAAATCTCAGTCAACGCATTGGCGAATAACGTGTAGTTTCCCAACACTTGGTGTCGATTATAAAGATTATGTGAGGGCAGAATTTCAGAAATTCGATATTCTGACTTTTATGGCAGGCAGAGACTGCAAAGAAGTGGAGTATATTGATGTTCGAGGGCATAATTGCTCACAATGCACCGTAGCCTGGGGACAGAAAAATAATCTTTTCTTGACACACCGCAGTGACGTCAACGAGTGCGGGCGCGGCTCCACTCCACATAGCATTGATGGGGAACAGACTTTCGGACGGTACAAAAAAGGGCGAAATCCAAAGTTTCGATGTACTTCAGCCAATTCATCCACTACCAACTATTGGTTTGGCCACAAATTAAATTTAAAGGATTCGTTTGATTGAGCGGATTTTAAAGTTTTAGTGTCATAAAGAGGAATGTTTTTAGATTCGTTAAATTTTGACAGAAAGGCACACTATATATTAGATTCTCGCGTGCCAGTCTTCACCATTCCAGTATCACTTTTAAACCTTCAATCGATGCCCTTGGACCGGAATGTGACGGCAATATCCACGAGGATCCCAGACAAATGGTGTTACCTTTTATGGGGGTCTGTCACCACGACTAGCCATCCTGACTGCACTGAGGAACGTGATTTACCAACAGCCGATGAGGCAATCACTAAAACTGTTTTACAGAGAACTCAAGGGGCTCGGTCATAGTTCTTTCAGAGGTACAGGTACTCTGGGCTACCACAGGTAATTGTCAGGCAAAGTTCTTTCAAATTAAAGTCAATGTTTTTTGGCAAAACAAAATTAACATAGGTATTTCTGTTATGTTTTCTTCAAAGAAAATCCTCAATGAAACAAAACAAAGCCGTCTATTGACTGCAATTAGAGACAATTGATGAAACATTTTTCTACAAACAGTTCAAAACAGATTGTTTGTATCAGAGGAAGGCCAAGCACAATGAGCTGTTCATGAACGTTGCAAATGTTATGGCTTTCAATATTAATTTTTTCACTCGTGTCAGCACGCATGTGATGTCACGCGCTCCTCACAGTATTTTAAGGAAAAGTTATCTTCGTTAGGATCCACTCGTTACCAAATACCGTAATGGCTATTTCCTTTAAGGAGGATATCTATACTGTGATGCTGTTGAGTCGATCAGTAATTTAAGTGATCTATAGTATTTCACAAAATACAGTGTTTTCTCTTTCTACAGATGTTTTTAAAGTTAATGTTCAGTCCTTGTAATTGCATCAACAACACAGACAAACAAATCAAAGATATAAATATATTAACGAGAACGATGTCCTGCTTTAGAACACAAAACCTCATGAAGTACAGAAGAGCGCAGGCTTAGATGGAGATAGGGCGCGGTGATTGGGCACTGTTGGATCACTTGGAAACCATTGATATGCAAGTGATCAACCTGCGGTACAGCACATGATTTACGGTCGCCATAGCCCTATTTAACTGAAAGGTAATTTACTGTTAACAACTGAGTTGAAAACGTGAATTGACTACCGTCAAGTGTTTAAAGGCTGACGTTTCAAGCGTTAGCCCTTCATCAATCGCTCTGGCAAAGGGCTAACGCTCGAAACGTCAGCCTTTAAACTGGCTACGGTGGTCAATTTACGTTTTCAACTCGGTTGTTAACACTAAATTACCTGTTACACTCTCCCTCCGACGCAGCACCACAGTTTCTTTAGAAATTCCCCCCCCCCCCATTTAATTGAACCTTAGAGAGATTAAAACTGTGTATCACGCATTCTGATCGCCTGGGTGTCCTTTTTGGGAAGGTCTGGGTCAGGAGGGAACAACGGAAATGCTTTAGAGAAGGAAAAATGCCCGACCTTACCAATAAGTTTAAATATCTCCTTCCTACCTGTAGAACATGAGTACAAGACCCTTTCACTCCCAAGATCTTGTTAGTAATTCTCCTTACTGTCTGCCATACAATTCTAGTGGTATGAGTTTGGAGAATTTGGCTTTGGATCACTTATGAATTCCCTTACTGATATCTTTCTTCATTCTCATCACTTGTCTACTTGATAGTGTTTTGATATTGTAAGAAGAAATTCTCTATTGGTCAGAGTTTAGGGAAGGTTTGGTTTATGAAGAAACAGTGAAAAATGCTTTGGAGAAGAAAGAGTTTTAACCCTTCACAATTAATAAGTTTAGTAAATCTTCTTCCAACCTGTTGGGCATTAATATTTAATTAAAAATCACGAGAGCTGGTTTCATTTCAAGATTCCACACCCTTTTTGCATTGATATTTAAGGAAAGGTTACCAAGCTCTCATCAGTTTATCAACTATCCAATCCACCAGACAGCCAAGTTTTTCAAAGAGAGAGAGATTATCACTGTTACCAAAGTATTAAATATAAAACATGCCAGGAATGATTCTTTGGCACTGTGGCCATTACCTGCTATCCAAAATTGTTTAGTGTCAATTTTCTGGTCAGTGCCACCTAAAGATTTTGTCATTCCAGTCAATTCTCAGGTGTGACATTCAAATCCTGTTGAATTTGAAATCTGAATAAACCACAAAATTCATTTAAGTAGTACGACAAGACACAAGAAAAAATAGCTGCTTTTTAAATATACTTTACACAAGAATATGTAGAATATTAATAAGCCTAAACAGAGGTTAAACAAAGGTGGTTGCATTCAAAGTCTTTCAAACAAACACAACAGACAACTTTCAAAAAAAAAATGTATTAATAATCCAAAACAGAAGCTGTTAGAAATGTGTGATAGCATTCCAATAGCCCCCCAAGTTGATAACGACAAACAACAAATTAATAAATGATTGTCTGCTAAACATTTCAAATAATTACAGTACATGGCAAAACAAAGTATCAAAGAATCAGACAGACAAAATGTACAAAACCAAAGTCTATGCATTTCAACTCTTTAAAAGCATCTCCCCATTTACAGAGCTTAGACCTTTTTGAACAATTTTTATTTTCAGCTGATCAATATTTTGAAAATTGCTCTTTGAATCCTATGCATGAAAAAGAACAATAATTTGAATGCAAAATGGTTACACTTTCTTTTTGCCTTGCACCATTCCCAACAAGGATTTAAGCTTTCTAAGGTTTTTCCCTGTTAAAGTGACTCTAAAACAACCTCAGAAACAGAATGAAACATCACCTTTCTGTATGATGTGACTGTCACTTCATTTCTTCATCCATGCTCAGCAATTCTGGATTTTTTTCTGCATTTTCTCATGCACAAGGAAACAAAGAAGGCAAACAGCAAGGCAGTCCATAATAATAAAATGTTTGCTTATCAACAGTGTGAAACAGTACCAGTTGGCAGCCTTCTATGCTGCCCTTTCCATCCTCAACTTATTGGTACATCATTCAATTCAAGAAAAAGGTCAAAATGAATGAAGATGGATATTAATGAAAAATCTTGGTCTTCTTTAGGAAGGAAATAATCTTTGAAAAATGTCAAAAAAGGCTACATTGTGAACAGAGGATGATAGTATATAGAAAATGAAATGCTGAAGTTCCATGTTGTAGTTTTAATCTAATGTGAAGAATTTTTGAGTCACTGACTATCTCCTGACCTTCTGCATCCAAGAAGTTATTGAAATCTAGACTACTTGTAATTGATGAGTAATGCAATCTTTTCAACTTCTAATGTTTGCAAATGAGAAGTTCGCTGAGTGTTCCATTTGTTGGAAGTATATTGAAATCATCACTGTAATTGTTGTCAGCATTGCAAGAATATTATTCTGATATACTGCTGGGCCCAGTTGCTTGAAAGCTGACAAGCACCAATCCAGGTTTCTTCATTCATTACGTCAAAAACCTTTCTCAGACAATTTTCTCTATTCTTTTAAAGAGCATCCAATCATCAAATTGTAGACAAAAAGAATTATAATGAATTCCCTTTCAAAGTTTTCAGATAAGAAATCAGATTTCACACTTACCATGGCTTATCATAACCATCCTTCCACAACCAAGCCCTAGAAATTTTTTCTTTAGTTGGGCAAAAATTCAGGGTTGGTGGATGAATTATAATGTCAAATTTTAGCTTGAGTAAGATAAGTGAATTCATAAAAAAGTAAACAAACTGTTTTGAAAACACTTTCACTAGAAATTACAGTCCTTTGTCATATATTTATTTAAGCATGTAATGTGTTTCAAGGGCCATTGAGTGTGGCTGTATTACATCAGACAGATTTTAAATACACGTGCACGATAATGGATTGCACTGGCACAGTTATTTACAATGATGATGTTAGGTCTTGTTAACCCTTTAACTCCCTGGATCTGATTGTTAATTCTCCTCTCTAGCTGCTACACATTTTCTTGTAAATTAGTTGCAAGAATTTGGTGTTAGATCAAGATAATAACTTCTACCTGATACAATTGAGTACTCTCATTACCTGTTTGCTGGATAGTGAATTGATATTGTAGGGAGAGGTTACATGTGAATCACTTCTAAGAGTTAAAGGGTTAAAAACAAGAACTCAACCATCTAACTACATAAAATGACTAGAGATACTATGAGGGCCCTGATTGGTCAAAAACCTTTTGTCCATTGCACTGATAAACCATTCAAAATTGAAACATTCAAGTTTAATTTATAAAGGCACATTTATACACTGCACATTTATTTAGTTTACTGGGCAATAACTCACTCAGCATGTTGGGAGAGTATGACCAAAGTTTTTCAATCACTCTGGCTTCTGATTTACAAAACTTTTCACATGTTCTTCCAACATCAACATCAATAACATAGGTTATTGGGTTACTATGCCAATAAACTGGTAGGAAATGGGGTTTATTGCTTAGGTAAATATCAGAGTCTCACATTAGTGGCAGGATGACAAAAAGCACCTCCTTGCATGTTACAAAATAAGTTATAAGTACAGCAAGCGAAAGATGTCCCCTAACAATCAAATTATGTGACAGTCCAGAATAAAAAAGCTGCTGTTTGATAATGAATTTTACTAAAAAAGTGTATGCGCTTTTATAATTTTTTTCTGGGAAGGGGCAGCTGTTCCTATGCTAAGTAAGATTTCATTGTATAACAAGGCTAACCACTTCAGTAAAATGATCACTTCCCCATATAAGAAGTTAGCTCTTTTCTACATTGTTATGAGGGTCTAATTTCCTTTAGTCTCTATTGGAAATTTTCTCACATGTCGCATTCCAGCTTAGTATGAAAGTTCGATTTTGGAACTAGCCAGCATATCATAATTTTCTAGAAGAGTCGCGGCCGCTGCGAAAATATGATAGCAAAAGTTTACCTGGGGATTCTTTGTTATGCAAAACATTTGGTCACACGTCGGAGAATTCATCCTACAAAAGAGCGCTTTTGGCTAATGCGAAAAAGCTGAATATTACTAGTACGACCACGGTACAGAGAACCTTGAGTGAAAGCTTCACCCGATACCGTGGTAGAAAACAAATGTTTCGAATAGAATTTAAGAATAATAAGCGTTCTATTTACTAAGTCTCGTGTGTTAAAAAGATCAAGGGCGTAATATAGCCGGATGAATATTTATCTTACACCGCGTTCGTTCAAATCTATCCGAAAATATATCGCTCGCGGTAAAGTGCGAACGCGCTTAATGGAGTATCGTCGGTATTTAATAAGTTGCAATGTTGTCGCAATAAATATTGCTCGATACGAGGGTACGAAGTAAACAAACCCGTTAATTATTCTTGCTCTCAACTGCTTTAAATAAAGCGACGCTCAATTGTGACCAATGAAAGCCAACAACTTGAAATAGCAAAGTTTGTGAAAAGACTGCCTCAATTGTCCGTGGCTAACAAACCGCAATTCAAATGTTAATTGGCCACTGTAAAGAGCTCCTACAGTTGACGTTTCGAATGCACGATCAAGCGAAATCTTTACCTGTAGCTACTGAACGATTGGAAAACAAAATAGATACACAAAAATAGCTTGACGATATTGGAAATATCATTACGAAAGCGACAATACAATTTACAATGATACATTATGGGCAAAGGACATCGAAATGTACGTCTACGTTGAGTTCGTTGGAGGAGGACTGAATAGGAAAAAAATAAACTGTTTGGCATTTTAACCTAACATCTGCCACGAAATAATTAATAAAAATATTTTGCTGAAAAAACTCGAAACAGTTGGTCAGAATCCATCTTCCAGCTGAGAGTAATCAATCCATACTCATTTCAGTGGAAATAGCTATTTATTGCGACCTTCTGGAGGACTGTCAAAGTCATAAGATGTTTTCAATTCAACATTCGATTTTGAAATATTTTCTATTAAGAGCTACAAAGCCATGATTATATATTAACATAATGTGACGACTGCAGCGAGGAATTGACATCTATACTGAACAATCACAAGCCCTGGAAATCAGAATAAAAGGGATGATTTCCTAGAAACCACCGAAAAAAGCTCCAAGGTTAAACTACAAGGTTTATAATTAAGTTTGTAAATTCGAATGCCATAGTGAAGGCACTTCGCTAACCTTGAATGATACAAAAATGTGTGCTTATGTCAAACTAGTTCTACAAACTTCATCTCAAAAATATCAATTCTTTTAATAATTCAAAGGAAAACGTTGAAGTTTTCAGGGCGAACTCTAGCTCAAATCTAGTATACATACATCACCGCACTGGTAGCCATCTTTCAACTGCAATGTTCTCCGTCACTTTCCATAACGTGAGCAGAACTCCTGTTCCATAAGTGCAGTGTCAATGAAAGGAAATCACAAATTCTGGAACTTCTTGTATTTGTCATCCCAGCTCTCAGTTTTTTGCTGTTTGATGGTGCTTCTTAGCGGTTTAGATGTTGGTTTCTGGGTCGATGCATGTTGCGCAGTTGGAGGAGGTACTACTGGAGTTGGTACTACTGGAGTTGGTTGCGGACGAGCAGGTTCTGGAGCAGGTTCTGGAGCAGGTTCGACTTCGGAGTGATTCACGGTACCATTTGTCGTTGGTGCAGGCAATGACTCCTCCTCCTTCTCCAATACCTCGTTCAGTTGTTTAACTTCCTCGGGTGTAGTTGCCTCGTTCGCCACTTCGGCAGAATCAACTTCGTTCGTGCTCGATTCGTCTGTTATGGTCGGTGCTGTTTCCACGGTGTTCGACTCCTCCACTTCGGGTTCGGGTTCTTCTTCCACAACAACTGGTTGTGGCGGCTCTGATGGTACTGGCTCACTCTCAACTTGTTTGTTCTGATAAACTGTCATTAGATTAGCCATATCAGCGGTTATGGGGCGACCTTCTTGTTTCAAATACGCCTCAGTAATATGGTCACAAACCAACATGGAAACTTCGGTCACGTTCATCTTGATCCGCTTGACAACATCGCCGTGAGACATATTCTCAATATTCATTCCATTTACCTCGATCACTTTATCCCCGACTCGAAGGCCTGCTTTCTGCGCTTCACTGCCATCGTCAACAGCGCTGATACTTTGCCCCGCTTGAATATTTCGCTCGCCATGGAGGTTAAACCCATAGCCACCTTCTCCTCGTTTCATCACAACGAGCCGAGGAGCTGAAACGGTGTCAGCGTCATATTCCATGCTCATTTTCCCCGGAAAATATACAGAGAAAGGGAAGGAAAGAATCTGTAGCTAACTGTGATTAAATCTGTCGCAAATCGGTTCCCCGAATGTTGCGTCTTCCTGCCTTTCTAACTCAAACAATTCAAGTAATCTAATGAGAGGAGAATAAATTATTATGTACATTCCTTATATGGAGCCCCCCCGCCCAAATATTCCATAGTTTCCGGTGAAATCGAGTAGAGTCCATTTCGTTTTCACTAAATTCGAAAAAATTTCCGCTAAAAACTGAAAAAATAACATAAAATTGCTGTATCAAACCATTCTCATGATATCGGGAAAAATTTTGACTCTCTTACTTTAGAACTCTTGAAACATTTTGATACAGAAGGTTGCAAATAGTATAAACAAAAAATAAAAAAAGGAGAAAAGAAGTAGTTTAGTACGTATTTAATCAACTGATGCCACATAATGATTGTCAGCTCCCGAACTAAATTGAAACCGAAAAAGGTGGCCCCAAAGCCATTTTTGAGAGAGATAACCTTCATAGCGGTGTGTAATTAACATTTCTCACACTTTTGAAATCTTTTCTATTTGTTTATTGAACTGCGAAATGCTTTAAAATTACTGAATGTAGTTCGATCCATGCTATTTTCTAGAAAATTCCCAACGTATGAGTCACTGAATCGAGAAAAAATTACGTTTTGTTCTAGTTGCTAAGATGAAACATAATGTCCAAGAAAATCCTTTGTTTTTAGCACTTCTGTCGGAAATTATTGCTATCTTCGCCCACACTATTAAAACTCCCACGCGTTTCCCACGCAAGAACAAAGTTCAGAGGAAGCCAGGGTACCCTTAGTTCCTCTCAGGGTGGTATCGTCTCCAATTAAAGAGTGAAGCTGGGGTCAAGTTTGCACAATGCGAGCCCGCGATTCATGACTGGTCAAAACAATATGGCGGAGTTCTATGGCAGTAGTGCCAACTATGAATCTCAGGCAAAAATGAGTTTCAGAGCGTTTGAAATAGCACCAGTGATCGAGCGAATAGTGACTACTTCTGCAGATAGACCAAAAACGGTAAGTTAACTTTGTATATCTCTTCTTTTCACCCATAAAATAGATTGAAACACGATGAATCGATTGCCATAGAGCTATTTATTTTTATGAAATTAATTAATTCCAAAGATATCTATTTTTGAGAATGCTGCATGATAAAGCTGAAGATTTACTATTCATCCCTCTTACGATTTGTTTACCCGTGATCAACCCTTCTACATGTATTTCTGAATGTTAAAAACTGACCGATCCTGAGGTACCGCTCGGCGTAGATCTAAATGGGCAACGTAAACTGCGCAAACTTTAAATTGAAAATTGATATAATATTTCAGAGCGCACTTTTGTGAAATTGAAGAATATCGAGAGAGATTTATTGGAGTCATCCATTTTCATCAGTTTTTCAAGTATCAGCGTTAATCTTATCAACTGACTGATAACAATGATAATTCCTACTATCAAGTATTTGTTGATATTGGTCAATATCGCGAAAGTTTTAGAAATGAATATTTCTACTGGTTGCCTAGTACAGGAAGTTGTTAAGACTACTCATCAAATCTTTGAGATCTGCATGGAATCTTGTGCAACATTTGTTAGGGATCCACTTTTTTTTACCCTATATTCATAACAAAACCAATAACTTTCTTCTCTAATGATGACATTTTGACCAGGTGGAGTGCCTTGATTGTGCAGCCCAGAATTTATACATTGGTACATCAGATTGGTATGTATTTTTTTTAATGAAATGTGCTTTTACCTTATTTAAACACACACTTGAGTACCTTAACTGCAAGTTTAGTTATAATTGAATGATAGTTTAGTTATGTGAAAATTTTTCATGTTTTATTTAATTCCTAGTAACCAAGATTAACTGAACAGAGCTTTTGCTTTGTTTATTTCTCAGTTTTGTCCTGAACTATGTGATTGATGAAGGTGTTTCACCATTGGGAAAGACAACATTTCAGTCAAGACTTCAAGCTTGTAAACATCTTGGAATGGTTTGTTAATGCATATTTTCATTTGTGTATGAAAATCTGCCTTTGTCCCAATATCTAGCTATGTACCTAAGTTGAAGGTTGTAATATCTGGGAGGCAAAGGTTTGAACCCTGCTGCTATTTGATTAGTTTCAAGCTTCTTTTTCCTGCAATTTCCTCACCTGTGAGATTTAGTCCTTAATTACTGTAATAATATTGTTATATGTTATTAATAGATGATGTTATCAATAATAGTAGAGCTTGCAATTGCACTGCATACAAAATGTCTAGAAATTTTTAGTCAGTAAATGTTGCTACCTTTTCAGCCAAGGTATTTTGATATTAAAAATGATCAAGGTGGTGCTTTTTCACTCTAAGAGGTGAATCTTGTTCCAATCGACAGAAAAAGCCAATACAACAAGTTTTGACTGCTCCGGCAATAAACAGACTTCTAGTTCTGTGTGATGGTAAGTTGAAGCCTTATTAATGGTGTAGATTACTTGAACATATCCCATTTGGTGCATTGTCCTTTCTCCATAACTCTTTACAGCCAAATATCAGTTTGCAAGTTCTCCATTCTGTTCAGTACATATTACCTATAGTACTTCTAAAAGAATTTGTGGAACAATCAAGAGCTTCTTGACCTTATGACCATTGCTTTTATTCTCGTGACCTTATTGTTTTATTTGGGAATGATACTGTGAGGAGAAATAAGTTGTTTATCACTCTCAGGGGTTAAAAGGCTAATTTTGAAAATCATGACTGACATGCATTTTCATTCCATACCACTAGGTAGTATTTTGATGTTTACTATGTTTGGCATGGAGGTGAGGATTGATTTTTTTCCATGAGTATGGCTAAAGCAGATATTGAAGTATGTAACTGAGTGCTTCAGTTCCCTCTCTGGTGCTCAATAACTGTCACAGTGAATGGCATTCTGAAATGACTAAAAGTGATAATGTGATAGATTAGTGTAGTCTGATCGTCTGGGTGAGTGTAGTCATGAGAAGGACTGTTGTTGGTAGTGGTGACTGTTGTTCGACAACCTGAGCGAAAGCAATCATGAGAGTCAAGGCAACATTCACAATCTTGATTCAAATGATGACTTCTGCTCAGGTTGTTGAAATGTTAGTCAACAACAGTCCTTTTCGGGACTACACTCACCCGGATGATCAGACTACACTACCACATGTTGCCCTTGGGTTCAAACCATTTACTGTAAAAGTAATAATCAGGATTAAACTTCCTGCCTGTTTTCCCAGCCTGGCATCTTTTAAGCCTTTCCCCAGCTGACTAACAAATTTGGGAAACTTGTAATCCTGACTGGTGTATCATGTCCTTTGGAATGCAGTTTTTCTCAACATTTTGTACATTTTGTTGCAGTTTCTGGCCACTGGATTTAAGGACAGATTTAAAGGGGTATGCATGTTTGTCTTTTACTGGCATGGAACAGAGTATTCATTCCACTTTTAGAAATTCCAGCGATTGGCTGTTATTGTTATTATTAATAGTTCAGGTATTTAATTGTTATGTTTTCCACAGATTTGTGCATAAATTAATAATTATTGTGACTTTTACATTACCCAATGTGGTGTATCTGTACACTCAGATGTTTTAGTGCTGTATACAATGCTAATGATTATCTACTGTAAAACAAGAGTCAAAGAATAACCTTCATATGAAAGGTTCTGTGATTTAAAGCAGTTAGTTCTAATATGAGAGGGATTATGATAATAGCAACAGCCATGTAACATCCTCAATGTCTGTAGAGGAATAAGTTTACAAAATATAGAAGTAGGTAGGGTCTTTGGCAATCTTTTTGTATCATCAGTCTCAAATGAGAACTGAAGCAGTGAAGGAAATAACAACAACGATGAATTCAAAACCTTTTCATAATATCCAACAGTTTTTGGTCCATGAGTAGGTTTAACTTCTTAATGCTCACATTTCAAGAATAGTTATGAAATGCCAGGTAACAGTCAAACATCAGTAATGTCTTTTCAAGTCAGAACTTTAATTAGTTACTTCTTCTACTTCTCATTGATGATGTTGTTTAATTTTTTTTGCTTTTCAGGTGACAGCTATTTGTAGAAATGATAATCCAAATATGTTTGACCCATTTGCTGTTGAGGTAAAGTACTTTGTTCTCATTGTTGCACTGTTATCTTTAATTGTAAGGTATTTGACCAGTTGAATAAATGTTGAAAGTTTAAAACAATATGCATTGCATTAAAGAATGATGTCCAACTCACCTATTTGTTTAGAGAAAAGGACAACAACAAAATTTCATACTACACTGTGTGTGACCATAGTGCCCAGTGTGCGTACAGTGTGCATATACATGTAGAAATGTCAAGAGCTACAAGGAAGCAATCACCATTGATATAAATTTCTTTTCTTCCGATTAAATGAGCCTCATTTTTCCTGAAATTCAAACCAGCAAAACCAAAACTGCGAAAATAATTTGGTAGCAGAGTAAGTTTTTAAACTTAAAGGTGTATGGTAGGAGAAGTCAAATGTTATTTAATGCTTTAAATTGTGTGTAAATTTCAGGTGTGTATGTCACTTTCCAAAAAGAAAGCCATCCACATTCTCTCTGTTACTGAAGACAGGATAACTCTATTGAAAGAAATACCACTTCCAGAACCTCCACTGCACATGGTAATGATCAAATTTTTTTTCTTCTTAATATATAGTGATATGAATCAAATGGAGGGCTCAGAGCAAGAACGATCCCTTGATTTTTCGGCCATTTTTGAAAGTGTCCACATGCCAAAATTCAACTACTTCTGGTCATGGATTTTGGATTTTACACAAAATAAATTACTTTCTTAGCATTGATGAACATTCAAAGTAGAAGTAGCCATTGATCATCTCCCATTGATAAGCTTTTGTGCAGCTTTACCTCTCCCCAAGGTTCCATCCCTTCTGTTTCTCCTCGAGGGGGGGAGGGGAGGAGGGGAGGGCTAGGCTACATGTTGGCTACACAGTGATGAGCCTTTCTTTCTAAACTTCTATGCCACTCTGTTATTTTGGCATGTGTGACAAAAAATATGAAAAAATATGAAGAAATTAAAAAATCTGTAATTTGCAATATGGAAATCTGTAATATGAAGCAATAAGCACATGTAGTATGTTACATTCTTTTTTACTTTTTACCCTCCCCCCCTCCCTTAAAATGGCAGGATCAAGATTAGATTGGTTATCAATTTAAAAAGATTCTTGGGGTGTCCCAGAAATGGAATTTAAGGGCTTCTTTTTAATCATTGAATTAGTGACTGAGATTTTACTTTGGTGTAAAGTTTAACTTTAATGGTCCTGTTCATGCTTCAGGCAGTTGATGGAGGATCTGTTTGTGTGGCATTGGCTAATCAACACCGTTACTGCTTGGTTAATATCCTCTCTGGCAAGGTATAGGTCTGGACTAAATTAATAGTTGTATCTCTCAGTTTACAAACTACAGAAATGTACCTCACAGTGTCAACTCTTTCAGTTACAGGATTGCCCTGTAAGTAATTCTTCCCACACCATTGATTGGGCAGAAAAAAAGGGATAAAAATGATGTGTACCAGTAACTATGAACTGTGTAGGATTGTCAGACAGGAAAGTATTTGCCTTTATGTCATGATGGACCGAGTACAGTCAGAGGTCTGTGTGTCATGGTGGAGGGCCAAATACTTTCCCTCCCGCCAAACCAGACTCAGTCGAGAAGTATTTGTTTTAAAGTTTTAAGCATTTTAATATTATGTTTGAACCTAGGTTCAAGAGTTATTTCATTACGAGGCTGAAGTTACTAAAGGACTTGTCATGGGTGTTGGAATGGTGAGTGCTTGTTTGTGAATCTGTTTTGGGAGATTTAAAGGCACTGTGTTTTAGAGAGTGCAATGATTGAGTTTTGTTCAACCCAAACCAAAGTAATCCTAGAGGTCATTCAGAGGAAAATAAAATATCATGGGTAGCAGATGAGAGGTCAAAATTTAAATGCACAAGCAGCGTCAAGGGTGGTCTAAACCAGTGACCAAGGAGCTATTAGTTTCAGTTTTGAATCTGAATGGTTGAGAAAGGAGGGCAGGTTTTCTGATTCCATCAATGTAATGTAAAGTGAAAGCTTAGCAATTTCAGGTTACTTTGGACACAAAAAACTTAAGGTTGCTCATGCTGTGTGGGCCACTATTCTTGTCTGCAATACTTTCTCTAAACAATTTGATTTGCCAGAAACTATATCAGTGTTGTCCATCCATTAGTAAAGTGAAGTTTTGTTGCCTCATTGTAGGAGGAGTTTTTACTTAATGGGCCCACAGATGTCATGGGCATGTTTGTTACTTCAGAAGGGACCTCTCAGAGAGCACCACTCAGCTGGTCAGAGAGATTGCTGGCTCTGGGATATTCGTTTCCTTATGCTGTAGCACTTGGAGCCAACTCCATTTCTGTTCACAGGTCCAGTGTTTATAAACAATTAACTAATTTTTTGCATTTTGCATTTCTTTTTTTGGTGCCAATCTGCAATGAGCAGAACTTTGATAATGTTCATTAGATAAATTTAAATCTGAATTATATCGTTTCACTTTCTGCTTTTTAAAGCATCATAGGGCAAGACCAAAAATCACAGAAGCAGTCACTTATATTCAAGGTATGAGAAGTTCAGTTAAAATATTCTTGATGTAAGCTCATTAACTTTGAGTGTTATACATTCAGTTCTTTTACTCCTGTCATACACTTTCTTGGTTTCTAAAATAATTTAATTCCCGTTGTTTGATAAAGCAGTTCTAAATACCTACACTGATGGCAAAATAAGGTAATAAAGTACTATGACTTCAAACCACGCTCCTGATTTGAATGCTTTATCTTTTCAAGGGTGGAAGACTCCTTCTGAATTACGATAATCAAGTGTTTGTTTGTTCTTCAAGAGAAGTCTACTGCTTAGTGCAGCTTTCGTTCAGAAAACAGGTTAGTTTCTTCATCTATTGTTTACGAGCACGTTTTTCACCACTTGCGCCTTGAATCAACAGAACTTACAAAATCCATAGCCGGCAGCTGAGTGGGGTTAATTACTTAACGCTAAGCAATTACTGGGCTCATGGCTTGCACAACAGATCAGAGATTGAGAGCTCTGGCCAGGGGTTTCAATAAAACCCATGCTGAACTCCGCAGGGGCGTTGTAGGTGTAGGCCATTTGGTTGGTTTGCAGACTTAACTTTTGAGTGGCAGAGCTGTGAAAAGTCAGAGTGAAAATTTTAAGGGGATTGGCTTATTGTTTCGGCCACTACCACCATCTTTGTCGCAGAGTTCTTACAAAACGGCTCGCTACGGAAATTGCTGAGTGAAATCACTATCCAAGCCTTACAATAACATGCAAACAAAGGGGTTCAAATCGCAGATCACGAAAAGAGATTTTGCTTTGCGCGACCATCAAGCACGTTACAGGCATCTCAAGTTCTTAACCAGCAAGATGAAAAAGTGGATTGAATGTCACTAAGAACTCTTAGGGCCCTTTAAAATATTTCTTTTGTGTCCGGGGAGGTTTAAGATAAATTTAGATATTGACTACCCACCCAACCATTGACTATATTCACCAGGTGCAGATGTTGTTAAACGAGAAAAGAGTAAGTGAGGCTCTTCAGCTCGCTCATGTCGCCATGGAAACAGCAACAGGGCCGCAAAGAGATGAAAAGGTACATTCCTATAAAAAGATATTAAATAACAACATGTGCAATAGCTAATTTATTCATGACCTGGCTGCCTAAGACTTTTTTCGTTTGTAGTGGGAGTGGTACATGTATCAGATGGATTCCATTTTACATTATGGCTGTCCAGGAGTAGATCAAAATGACGTCAACATGTGATAAGAACAAAAACGTGCCACATGAGTCACAAGCAGATACAGGGGAAAATAGAATTTTTTGTGTCATTTGATGAACACTAAATTTAACTAGCTTAAGTACAAAATTGGCTCGTAAAACTTGTTTTTCGAATTTTTTTGCAGTTTAGATATTTTTCATTAAGAGGAATTCTTGTACAACTTTTTATATTTGAATTGCGGAATAATTAAGGAAGATGAGAGTGATCATCGCAGCTATAAACGCTATTAACATGCCAGCTCAAAGTTGGCTTGATAGCTCAGTTGGTAGAGCACTGCATCGGTATCGTAGAGGTCACGGGTTGAATCGCCCTACAAACCTGAATGTTTTTCAGGCGTTATTTTCACAACTGTCTAAGTAGTGTTCATAACTGCGAAGATCATTCCCATCTTGACTTCTCGTCTCGTGTCTTGTTTTTGTCGCTCGTAAACAGCTCCTTCTAAACTTTGTTTAATTGAGGCCTTCACTTCTTAAACTGGATTAAGTTGTGCAAAGGAATGGAAACAATTTTACTGTGACGTGACCTGTGTACTCTGATACTTAATGATGAATTACCAACCTAAAGGCGTGTGTAGCACTCAGTTTATTGCACAAGATTTAGTAGCTATATGCAATTTAGCGGTTGGTAAGTTGAAATATCATATCTGTTGCGACATTTGTTTCAGATCCTTCAAAGAACGCAACAGCAAGCTGGATTTATATACATGGCAGAAGGGTACTTTACAGAAGCAGGAAGCCTCATGAAAGAAGGAGGACTGGATCCGAGAGAGGTATCGCTTTGCGATTTCAAGTGTTCTTTAAGGGTTTCCAACTATCTCGGAAAATGTGTCGGCCTGGGCTAGTTATTCAAAGAGCGGATGAAACTATCCAGTGGATAGTTATTAACCCTTTTACTCCCAGATCAAACTTGTTATTCTCCTCACTGTCAACCATACAATTCCTATAATGTTAGTTCAGAGAATTTAGTATTGGATCAACTAATTATCCCCAAATTGATATTTTTCTTTAATCTCATCACTTATCTGGTTGATATTGTATTGATATTGTAAGGAGAAATTCTGTCCTGGTCACTCATGGGAGTTAAAGGGTTAACGTAACGTACTTTTCTAACCAGGCAGAAATTTATCTAGTGTGTGGCGTTATCCAGCCTTTGAAAAACTATGGCTAGGTGATCAGCACTATAGATATTGCGGGTCTACTTCTTTAGAACCTGGGTGACATTTAGGATGGTTTATCTGCGTTAAAGAAAAAAAAAGGGAGACCTTTCATTGTGATAAAATCAGTGTAAACGCTTTGCTCACTACTCAACCTGGTTAAACAGTGTGAGATCAATTGTTGACTGGGGTGTCCGTGGTATGTCTTGGCCAAACGTTTGCGAATGATTAATATGCCAAAGACTTGCTCACAATCAGGAGGGGCTTTAACTACCCGTAAAGGCAAACAGCCATTGAAGAAACAAAACAAATAATAATCATCACCATTTTAGTGCACGCTGTTTCCTATTGTAGAATAATGTAAATGAAACACGGGAAAATAACTAAGGGCCGTGGATCAGCTTAATTGTGCCTGTTGAGTTATTTTCATTCAGGCAAACTCTCAAAAAATCGGTTTAATTGTTCTTGACTTGTCACGGTTTCTACGGCAGTTCCGTTTGTGAAGCTCAGAGAGCAGCTTTGCAGCGTTCAAGGGACTGATTTTGCAAGCTTAAGATCGTTGCTCTGTCAGTTTTAAGTGCAGTACTTATAATTAACCAAAAATAAACCAGAATTGAATTATAAACATCGAAATAAAATTGGGAACTACGAGAAGTGGATGTATTAGTTTTACATACTGTTGACCAGCTTGTTGCAAAATGTCCTGAAAGCAGCAATCTTTTGCGTATTATTTCGTTTGCATGTTGATATTTTAATGTCTCGTCTTTTGTTTTTCTTTTTTAGCTGATAATCTTATTTCCAGACCTCCTCTCTTCTAACTGGAAATATCTACCATCCAGAGAAATAACAGAGCTGAGTGCTCTTGGTGAGCTCATTATCATAATTTTCGCTAAGTAATGCAACTCAGACATTCTAGATTGGTGGCCTAACAATTACCGTGCCGTACGGTTTATCGAGTGGTCTGGAGTCTAGCTTTACCAAGGGCCACTTTGATGTGTTTTAGGGCAAGATTTAGAAGTATACAAGCTTTATTTTCTGTGAATGTGATTGTAATAACTTAGGATAACAAGTCAAAGGACGGAGAAGGTTTGCTTGGGTTTGTTGGATTTCTCGGTAGTATTTCATATTAGACCTTTGCTTTTTTTTTCGCTTTCTTGCAGTGAAAGGTAGTAAGCAGTTTTTGGCGGAGGCCAAGCTATTCTTGATGCAGTTCCTTGTGAGTTGGTCCATTGTCATATAATAAAGAAGAAAAATGCTGTCGATGGTGACGCCATCTATGCCTCCAATAGATCGTAAATAAGAAGCAACCAGAATGCTTGTACAACTCAGCTTATTATATGATCCGTGATAGATGCTGCGTAAAGTGGTTAGCCTCACAGAGTTCGGTTGTCGACAGAATCAAATAAAAACACGTACTTGCTAGGTCGTTAAGCTATGAACGACTGGCATATTTATGCTAAAACAATCAGATTATTCGCTTTCAATCTTTACGCGAAATGTATTGCCTTCGTCGACTATCAAAGAAATCTCGAGGTCGTAATCATATTTTTCTAAAAGTAGCTGCTAAAATCATGATATCATCTTATCTTTCCAGGAAGAAACCAGAGAATCTGCTGAAGATTCGGGCTACAAAGAGGTTTGTTTGTTTGTTGTATGAATCGTGTGACCCTAAATAGTCATCTCACTAAGTTTACTCGATGTTGCATACTTAGCTTTTTTTGTCCTGATTTACCGTTGTGATAGCCAATGTTTTGGTTTAACGAAGTGCGCTCTTTCTTAGACATAGGGGGCTTCTTTCGTCTTTTGTAGGAGGTCGACACGGCTCTGGTGAAGTTGTACACACAAATAAATTCTCCAGACTTACTAAGGTTGGTGTCTAATAGAAACGCCTGCACTGTGGCAGATACCATCAGTTGCCTTCAAAAACACGAGGTATGTATTTTATCATATTTATTTTATTCTCATGGTTAGACCTTGACACAAACCGAATAGCTTTGACATCAACCTGTTATTTATTTTTAATAAGACGTAAAAAGCTACACGCAATCCGTACATCTTGAAAACTTTTTTCAGTAAATTTGTTGCTCACCTTTTATCCGCGTTAATCTTCACCATCTCTACCCACCCTTGTTCTTACTCTCTTTAGTATTATCCCTCAAGTCTTTCTCTGCCTTGCTTGCAAATTTCGACGTTTTTTCCATTTGACGATAGTTTTGTTCGGTGTATAAAACGAAGCGCAATTCCCACACACAGCTTCTATAAGCTAAGATATCGCAATATCAGACCGACACTTGTGGTTATTCAGGAGATCGGCACATTTAATTTTATCTTCATACCGTTTAACGCCGAGAGGTAATTATCATTATATTAATGATATTATTACATTACCCAGCAATAGCTGATGAGGATGGACGAACTTGTCAGTCAGAAGGTGTTATCTTGTTTAATACCGAACTCACTCAACTGAAATACAAGGAAATGTACGACCATTGCAGATAGAGAATAGAGTATCTGTCAGATCCTTGCAATAAAAGGGTTGAGACAACGTCATGACTCAAGCTTAAAATGAAAAGAAAAGGGCTGGGCTGTTTTTGTTGTTTTTGCCGTGACAAAGAAGACGTAGAAAGTGCGTTTTGTCTTTTTCTGTTTTTAGAGGTACCACGCTTTGGCACTGTTCTATGACTATCACAAACAACCTGTGGAAGCGATAGCTGTTTGGAAAAGGTATGTTTTTTTTTTGCAGCTTTTTATTGAGTTTCGTAAAGTGTAAAACACAATTTTAAACAAGAGCCCGCAGCAATTATATGGCAGATGTCATGCTTAAATAAATAAAGGGGGTAAGGAACAGTGGTGTAGCGTCGGTATGGGGTGGGGTGGGGGGTGGGGGGGGATAACAAGATAATTCTGGTTTTATCCACCGAGTTGATAATGTAAATTGGCCTCCGTAAAGAGTATCTAAGCTGACGTTTCGAGCGTTAGCCCTTCGTCAGAGCGAATGAAACTTCAGAAACTTACCCCTTCAATTCAAGTTCAATCTAGATTAAGTTTGTGCGCTGAAAGAGGAAATGAAATAAGTCGCAGCGACTTAGTCTGGAAAACAGTGCTTAAGGGAGGAGCTTGCCGGAGAGACTTGTCACAGTGGCTCGCAGTCTCTTAGTCTTGTCTCGCGTTCCTTGAAGTCTTTGAAAACGATTCAGAGGACTTCGACTAACGCTGGCAAAACGGAAATCGCAGGAGGGAGCTTGGCCTCATTGAAAGTTTTCCTTAATGTTATTCTCTTATTGTTACATTCCCAGACTTATACAGGAGGAGATTAGAGATAGAAACTTCCCGGGGATAGACTACGTCGCAAAGTATCTTTCTAGGTAAAGATTCATGTCATTCAAACTGCACTGATTTTTTGTAAAAGGTTTTCATGGAACTTGGAATCAAGCACTGTACTGTATACTGAAAATACTTAGATCGCGATGGTTTGAGGTCCTTGATAGATGCAAAAGTAATGGTCACTTGTATCCTAAGGTCTTATCTGTTGGTGATTTTATCGTCAGTTGACGAATTTTGAGCGATGAATTGAAGAAAATCAACATTAATTCTCAGTACGCATGCGAAAATAAATTGTAGCCGAAAATAGTCAAGCATTTCCTGAAAGGTTGATTTTAGATTTTTCTTACCCCGTTTTTCAGGTTGCAGGATTCTGAGCTTCTCTGGAACAACGTTCCTTGGCTGCTGGCGAAGAATCAAGAAATAGCCGTTAAGGTGCATTAAGTTTATGAGCAAATGAGTGAGCGACACGTTATCGATGATAGAAACAGACATTAGAACGTAACTACGAACAGACGGACGGACTAGCGAGCCGACAAACGAACGAAGCAACGAACTGGCGGTGTGACAAGAAAGAACGAACAAACGCACGAAATGGAGAACGGAACGACCCGAATAACGAAAAATTTTTCCAATGAATTAGCGATGGAACCGAGGCATTATTCTATTAGACGTAGAAGATAAAAGTTTCATGGTACACTTCCATTCAGTTTCGCCTTAATTCGTAGTCTCCTTGTTACAGCAAACCGTTTTTAGTAAATCTTCGGGAGCTGAAAGTTGTTTGGTGTGATTACCCAAAAAAAAAGTGTCACGGAATCTCCAAGGAAAAGAAGAAAGGGAATTAACTATTGTACTTCGGAGGGTAAACTTTAATACAATATTCTAATTTAATGATAGTGTGATATTTTTGGTGATCCTCTCTGTACATCTCTGCAGGTTTTCACAGACAGACCAACAGATTATCAACCCAACGACGAAAAAATGAAACCAGACTTGATTGTAGAATACCTACAGAGATTTCCTGTTGCTTTACAATATTATCTTGAGTATCTTGTGTACGACAGGAAATTCGAGGTATGACAAATGTTCGAGGCGTTCTTTTCACAGCACGAAACAACTGCTATTGCTTTCATTTGTGATGTTTCTTTAAACAATTATTACCAAACACACTTACACTCATTGTGACAGTCAACGAGTAAATGGAAACGTCCCGCCAGTAGTGTAAATAGCTATCGATACCATTAACGGATTTCAGGTATAAAACCCTTTAGTTGCAAGCATTTTTGTAGGCGAAGATGAACAACCGTTTTTTTTTAATTTTGAATTTTAAGGAAGTTGACCATAACTTCTGTTCGTGTGGTCTTCGTTTTTGTCGGCTTTTGATAAGCAACCAACCGTATATCCCAAACGTAATTAAGAAAATATTTCTTGCACATTTTTAAACAGTCATCCATCTAGGAGGGGGGCATTGGGGCTTATTAGAAACCGCAAAATCGTAGAAAAAATCATCCAAAACCGAAAAACCGAAAAAAAATTCGATCAAAACCGAAAACCGCTTGCAAAACTGTCAAAACCGATATATTTTTAGATCCCAGTTATTAAAACCCTGATCAATCCGATACAGTCAGTGGTGACAAGTGGAACATGCAGAGTAAACTACACTAATTTTATCACAGTATTTGTGAATACCATGGACTTGGCATTCTTATCTTCTAGTATCTGCTGAAATTGTAGGCTTTATTTCAGCTGCTCTCTTGAAGACCTCGAGCGTGGTCTCTGCGCACTCAGCAGCTGGTAATAGAGCCCAGTTAAATGAAGGAAATTCGCACAAAAGTCCTCTATAGGATTGCAATTTTACAGTCGCAAAAAATCTATAGCTCTGGAAAATTCCATCGAAAATCCCTAATCTAACATTTCCATTTGCGAACTAAGACCTGAAAGTTTGGAAATCCTATTGGAATGTTGAGTCAATCAGTCACGTGTGGCCTGTAACTTGGTCACCAACTTCGAGGTGGCGTTGATAAAGAAACTCAAGCAGTGTTCCGTGCTTAGCCATTGTTGTTTCTTGCCGCACTGTCCTTTGTCTTACTGCTGCGCCATATTCGTCATTCAAGACGCATGGACCCCTACAGATGGTCAAAGTCTTGTGCGTCATTCAAGACTCGTGAACCTCTTAGAGATTGGCCTACGTGTACCCGTACCCTCCCCTCCCCCCAAGGTGAAACGAAGGCGAGGCTCCCTCGCTTTCAATTCACCAAGGGGGGGGGGGAGGGGAGGGTACGGCTTCACGTGGGCTACTAAAGGATCCCTGCGATATTTGAATTGGTTTGTTACGCATTCCTCTCAATAACATTTGCGTTTCGCGGCTATTCGAGATCAGTGAAGGCGCGTAATTGCCGCTCAGATCGAAGAGAAGCCGGAACCCAAATAGGTCAAATAGGAAAAACAGAAAACCGCATCGGGTATCAAATCCGAAAACCCGTTAGTATTTCTCGCGAAAACCGAAACAAAATGCTAAATAACGAAAAATCCGCAAACCGCAATGGACACCAAAACCGAAAAACCGATTTAAAAATAGCCAAAACCGAAAATCCCAATGTCCCCCTCATCTAGAGTTCCTTTTTACCCCACCCTATATTAGTGAAGAAGACCACAAACAAAACGTTTCAGTTGGAGGAAGATTTTAACCCGTGAGGTGATACTGAACTTTTCAAATCGAAAGCGATTTAGTCACTCAAAGTTTATGTGCACGCTATTATGAGAAAAATCTCCACCGTTCTTGATTGGTCGGAAAATAGCAACAACAGTTTAGCTGATATACTGAATTGTTTCTTCTCTATCGAATTCTTATTCCTTTATCAGAAAGAGAAGTATCACACTCATCTAGCCCTTCTTTATTTGGAGGAAGTGTTGAAAATGAGAAGAGATCCATCTTGCTCTCTGGGCAATCTTGATAAACAAAGGTATGTTATTATCTAGCAGTGAGGATTGTGTATGATTCTCGCAAGTAGGCAAGAACGAACTAAATATTGCCACTTTGGACAAAGGGCGTATCGATGTCGATGAAAAGTTTCCAGAAAAAAAACACCTTTCTCGGTCAGATTTCTTGGTTTGTTACTTTTAAATTTGATATGTCGGCCATGCGGTTTGTTTGCGAAGACAGCTCAAGGTATTCCTGTTTTCCTTTGCAGAGTGAAACTGCGGGCAATGTTGGAGTGGTCTTCGCTGTATCGAGTGGCTCTGTTGCTATCCAAGATCAACGATGATTCTGACTTAGATGCTGAAGCCGCCATTCTTTATGGAAAGGTTGGTGTGCGATTGTTTAGCAAATCATCAAAAAGATGTGAAGTGATATCAACAGAGTGAGTGGTGCAATGACAATTTACGGCTTGAGATCAAGTCCAATTTTGTTCTTGCGTCGCTTGTGATTGCAATTTGAAGGCCCTGGTTTGACATTGACAGGCTTGTAACAGAATAAATTTTAATACTGAAAGCCTGGTTGCTTACACTTCTAGAGCAGCGTTTGTTGGTTTGTCATGAGTAAAAAGACTGGGATCGCTATGGTTTCGCTTTTTAAAATATCCTCCCAGATTATGCCAGAAAACTCCCAACAAATCAGATGCCAAGCGAGATACAAAGCTAAAACTAGTCGCTACAAAATCGCGACTTGGTCACTTGAGTTTTCCCGCGCTTCGAGCGGTTTCTTTTTTTTGCTGTGAGTTTTTACTGGATCGATGTAATATTTTCTGTGTTCTGATCGGTTTTTGCGATTAATTTGGTTCTAGTTTTGCAATATTCATCGAAATGTACACTGTACAGCACTTTTTATTCAATAATTTTGTACTTTATTTCAGATGGAGCAGTACAATAAAGCGCTGAAGATTTTAGTTTACAAACTTGAGGATTTCTCTGAGGCTGAAAGGTTCTGTGAGCTACATTCAAAGGTGAACTAACTCGACGTTTTGCTTTCATTTAAGTTGTGATTTATTACTGTAATCTCTTTTGGAGTGATCTTCTACTCTGGAATAATTTTCAATTCGCGGAAAATTTGCGCCGATATGTATGCACAGACAGTAATTATCACAATGAATTTTGAACGTTCACGAGAAGATCCATCCCGTTTGACGTTTTTCTTTGTGAAAATATCGCCGAACTGGAGAGCTGTATATTTGAAAGTTGTACCTCATTGAAATGAAGATCACTCCTTGTTGGTTTGTTCGCCAGATCTGATCCTCAGCGGTTGCTTTATTTGTATAGAATTTAACCCTTTGACCCCTAACAGTGACTAAAATCAAATTTCTCCTTACAATATCACCCCTGAATCACACATTAAGATCACGAGAATGAAGGGAAAGATCATCAACTGAAGAAGCTCTTGATTGTTGAACAAATTCTCCTTGTCAGCACCTAAGGAAATGTAGACAGATCAATAAGGAGAATATGCATACTAGTGTTAGGGTGTGGAGGGTTAAATGGGTCTCTACATCAGCTTTTGATCTTAAACTGGTCAGCGTTTTGGTCATGCATGGTTTTCACCTCTTATTCTGCAGGGCAAAGACAGAAACTTTCGTATGAAGCTTTTCCAAACTTTGTTAGAAGTCTACCTATCTCCTGATGAGTAAGTGGTAAAACTTACGTTTTGAAAAAGTTTTATCGTCCATTGCTTGGTTAAACTTGCTGAGTAGCTCTAATAAGCTTTGGCAACCTCGCAAGTTTCTCAGGGTACATACGTTGTCTCAATCAGAAAAATGAAGTTTTAAATTTGGTGAAAATTTGGAGTTTTAGCTTGCGGTCTTGAATAAAAATCCTTCGCTTGGTATAATTCGTTGTCCTGTTATCGAAGGATAAAGGAGAAATAAGAAACCTTAAATGAGCAAATCAAGTTTTTGTTCTGTGTCTCACAGGGACCACGAACCGTTAATAGCACCAGCGGTTGCACTTCTAAACTCACATATGTGTGACTTTGACACAGCTGAGGTAAGCGGTTCCTTTTTCTGAAATACGTTTAGTAGTTTTGCAGATGCATATTCGATAAAAAAGACGTCTCCAAAATAGACTTCCACCCAGCTTGTTATGATGCAAGGACGGAGAAAGCTCATTTTTTGACCCGCGGCTTGTGGCAGGCACCAAGACTCTTCCTTATTCCCCCTTCTCTTGATCTCACTGAATTGTTCCTCTCTCTATCTGATTTGAGTGTGTGAGCATGCGCGGTGCTGAGTATTTTCTTAAGAAAAATTATGGCTGCCGTCTATGATTTTAATGGCAGTGGAAGGCTGGGGAGAGAAAGAAATTTGTATCGAAGGGGCGGTCGACGGTCATAAAAAAGGAGAGGGGTATGGGTGGGGGAGTGAAGATTGCGCCGTCTTCCCACACTTCTCCAGCCCCCTACCCCCACCGTCCACTCTAACTCCACATCAAACATGGCCGGTCGGATAAACGATCGCGAGCTTGAAGTTTTAATAAGACGCCTGCACTGTAGGCTCCGACGAGCGTCATAGCCAGAATCAAGTCTCTATAATGACCAAGAAAAAACTACTAAAAGACAAAATAGGCTTTTGAGTCTTTATATCTCACCGTGAAGAATTGCGTAACAATCAGGAGAACTTAGAAAAAACTCATAATAAAGTACTAAAAAAAAAACCAATTTCGAAATGACATTCAATTTCGAATAATCAAACATCAAGACAGGAGAGACAATAGTCAGGAAACGCAATGCGAGGGTGAAGAGTGACACAATTCTTGACCTAAATCACCAGGGCAACCTTTTAATACCTTGAAATATAATTAACTAAAACACATCTCAACATTTTGTTTAAGTTATTGCTTTTTTTTCCCATTCTTCTAGGCAATGAAGCTGATTCCTGACGAATGGTCGATCGGTGTAATTTCTCAGTTCCTGTGTGGTTCAGTTCGATCAAGTCTCCATAAAAGTCGCACCAGTAAGATTCTTAGCAGCCTAGCTCGCGGAGAAAACCTCAAGGCAAGTTTTGTACCGTGCATGATGTGACAAAAACGTGAAAGCTGGATTTGCTCATAGACATGCAAAGCACAGGAAAAATTAAAAAGCGAAGTAAATCGAGAAGTAGAAAAATGGCCTACTTTTGTGGGGAACATATTGTCTCCATTAAAATTGTTCCAGGTGGTATGTCAACATTACTACAGTCATCAAGGTCTATAGAACCATAGGTGTTGAAAGCAGTCATAAAGAAAGAGGAAAAACACTCTTCACTTCGGTCCACGAGTGCACAAGAGAACCAGCAGGACAATATTTAGATATCTTGGCCTCACTGTTGGGTAAAAACGTATGAATGAGACCGAAATGACAAGTGATCACAAAGTGAGCATGCTTGTGGATACAATAACACGAACGCCACAAACTCTAATGTTAATTATCTTTCATGTCTTCTCATTTTGAAATATTTTATCTTTTGAATTCTGGTTTTTAATGAGTTTTGCTTTTCTTTCAGATGCGAAGTTCGCACATGATCTCCCATAAAGCTAAATTTTCAGTGACGGAGGAAAAGTAATTTTTTTGTTGTTAATGCAGCTACGTGTCAGTTTGATCATATTTGAAATTTAGCCTAAACTTTTTTTCACCCTGCCATCTTCTACAGTGATTCTCATCCAAACCAAATTCTCTTGCAAAGCTCAGCTTGCACTAAGTATCGATTTAACTCTTTCCCTCCCTCCCACGATCACAATTAAACAGTATCCCCTAGCTGATATTCTTCTTTCTTCTCATCACCTTTATGCTTGAAAATGTCTCGTACTTCAAGCGAAACTCCTTTGTGGTTAGTCCTGGGAAAGAGGGGTTTCATACAAATGAGAGGAACTGAGGAGACAGAGAAAGCCCATAAGGCCTTTCGTTCCACTGCGATTATTTTCAGTTTTCTTGACAGAAACGGATGTCTGTTTTCTGGCACGTTCGATAGAAACTGATTGACTGCATCTTTGATTTTTTTATTTTATTTTATTTTATTTTAAGACTATGTCAAGCATGTCGGCGGCCGTTTAATGACCCAGCTGTAGCGCGTTACCCGAATGGCGTGACGACGCATATACACTGCGCAAGAAATAAGACTGTTTGCCCCGTGACGGGGCATGTGTTCTCATCCAAAGAACCGCATCGGGACGAGGTCAATAAAGACGACGGAGTATGAGGGTGCTAGGAATAAAACGAAATATCAGAAACTCATCGCACTTGGGGTATTAACAGCGTAAAAACTTGCTGGAGAAATGATGGAAATTGTGCTGAAATGTGCAGCGTAGCTAACAAAGGGGGAAGTAATGGCCATTTTGTCAGGCATCGAGCATTCCACTTTAGGAAGCTGACATTTTTACCATAGTCTGTTGCGTTTTGACTTTGTATATATCTCCAGAATATTTTAAAGCTTTTGAAGAGAAGTGAAAACATATTTTTATATAATTTCTGTACGTGATATAGAGGAAGCCTAGCTCTCGACAATAGGTCGAGGTGTAAATTGGTTGAGAAAAAGAAAGGAAGACATAAGAAAAGAGAAAAATTATGAAGTGATGATGTTCGAAGCCATAACATGGAAAAAGAGACTGACGTTTCTGGAGCGACGAAGGCGAAGACGTAGAAAAATTAATAATTATGCGAGTTACGTGGATGAAAGGGAAATACGATCTGGCTTTGAAAAATCTATGATTTGAAACGACCTATTTTGTGAATAAGCGCTAAATGTCTGTACAGGTAAACGAGAAAATAGAATTGTATTAAACCATACAAACATGTAGAAAGAGAAATGACACTTTTTTCATGGATTTACATACATTTTTGCACTAAATGTGACTATTACTGCCAAACCGCGTTCTATGACCCCTACCCATCAAAATAAAGGCAAGTGTAAAAAGTGTTTTTGTTTAGTTTTTTTTTTCGTCAAAAATGAATTTTCTTTGGATGTAAACAGCAAATCATTTGTACTATCAGAGGCTTCGAACTAACCCTCGTTTCAAGGGGCTCGTATATGAGCTATTTTGATATCAAAATTTGATAAGTAGCTGGTGTTAGCTCACAATTGGGTGGGCTAAAGATCATTAAACTATTTTTCATGCGGCAACGCGCGTTCATTGAGGAATAAAGGAAGTGAAAATTTTATAGAGAACGAAATATGCGTAAGAGTTACTCGAGTTACAGTTTAAATGTTTAAAAAGAGAATTTCGTCTACTACTCTTCTGCGTGTCACACACACGTCATTAGGGCCCTCCTTGAAAATATTGGGCACATTCCCGTAAGTGAATTAGATGACTAAATGACTGGAATGTACTAAGAAGTAGAGGGTAGTTTCTTGGGCTTCGAGGTCTGACTGAGGCTGCGTCACGATATGATTTCTAGGTCTATCATATATTGGATTCTGGACGATTGTCTATTTCCGAGAGGCCCAAAGCGAGGGTTTTTTTTTGCCACCCAAAATGTGTTTAATTGAACTCTTATTTTAATTTTATCCCAGCTAAACTATTTTTTCTATCTGACGTTCTCAAATTTGCAAAAGATCATATGGATTTGTTGAATCGCCGATTTTCTCCATTTTTTTTTAAGGGAACGAATGGAGAGAAATTTTCTCCAAATAATTCGTTCAGCCAAAATGGGTGCTGTATACCAATTATCTGATCCGATTCGCATATTGCTTCATTTACTTGAAGTTATCCGAACTTTGATTACAATGAAGTTTTAAAAACTCTTAGCTACCAGTATAGTCCCCACCCCTCGTCGCTGAATTAGGTTGGCGCATCGAGGCCAGGTTACTTAGAAGGCACCCCAAGATGGCGACTGGCTCGTCAGGTGATTCCTTGGGTCAATTTTCGTCCTAAAGAAGAGTCCCGTGGGCAACCATGGCGTTCAACAAGGTACGTTTAACCACAATTACTTTATGTGTACCATGATCCTGATTTTAAACTTGTCGGATCATGATAGCTAGTTTCTCAAGACTTATACGGGCCCGCTTTTTACTAGTCAGTGGTAGTGCGCGCGCCACGCAGTGTTAATCGATACTCTCCATAACTTCGACCTGCGCCTGCAATAGAACCTCATAAGCCTGCTAGCTAATTTTCATTTGGAAGAAAGTGAAAGTTTGCAAGAAATATGTTAGCATCAGCTTTTCATCCGTTTTGGGATCAATTATTTTGTAAGTAACTTGTCTCGTCTCTTCAATATGCTAATATTTGACTACTGAACTTGAGCAAAAGTTTCTAAATATAGGCTTAGTGTAGTTCCGATTTATTGAAACACTAGCGCGTGCAGCGAGAGTGTGTTCCAAAGGTTATTATTATCGGTTATAGCAGGGATCAGGGTGGTATTTCATGATACAAGGATGGGATTTTTGAGGTTACATTAAGAGCATTTTGGTGAAATATTCATTAATGACTCATTTACTTTGCGTATTTGTGTGTTGCTCTTGATCAGTAGACTGTAATCTTAATCAGTTTCCTTTCAATAATACAACTACAAGTACCCTCTCATCTCTTTATTTGTGTATTTCAATAGTTAATAGTCCTTATGCTCTTTTGAGTTTCTTTTATAGTTTGGTGAAATGGTCTGGAAAAGCCGATATTTTTACTTGATTTTTGATTTTTTTTGATATTTGTTAAATTTCAAGACGTTTCAAATTAATGATTTCAATACTCAATTTAATCTATTGTAATTGATGATTTTCTATCCTAAATAATCAATTTATATCAAAAATCAATAAAAATCAAAACCTGTGGTTTTTGTGATTATTAATTTTACAGGTAAGAAAAAAACCCTGAGTTAATTCTGAATATAGACAATGTCATTTGTTCTCTCAGTTGAGTAAATCACTATTAAGAATATTCTGGAGCTAAATCTTGTGATTATTTTTATGTATCAATTATTTTACCTAATCAATCAACAAACTTTGAGTATTATCCAGTAATATCAAGCAATCAATCAGTTTCCAGTGATTGATTTCTATTGATTTGTAGCATCCTGTATTTTAATATTGATCAATTCTTCCTTACAAAGTGCAATTAAAATTATTTTACTTACTCTACTGTTATTTTTTTACTTTACTTCTGGAGCCTTTATCTCCCAGAAGTGATTCTAAACATGTAGAGTTGTATGTAACTTCTCCCTTTAATATCCATACATTATCCAGCAAACAGGAAATGAGAATACTCAAGCTTATCAGGTTGAAGTTGTTATCTTGTTCTAACTTTAAATTCTAGCAACTAACTTACAAGGAAATTTTTAGCAGCTAGAAGGGAGAATTACATGTAACAATCAGATCTTGGGAGTTAAAGGATTAACGTAGGCCATCTGTGAATGATTTTTTCCTTTTTCTAGCTAGGATATTTTTCTACAATTTTCAAAATTTTTATGCATTTTATCTGTTTGTTTCATATTATTTGCATTGGATCATATTCAACTTTAATTTTGCCTGACGTTAGCAACAATGAAGGTGTTGTTGTTAAAAATGTGCAGCATGATTATCACTGCAGCACTGACGGGGTTCACTGTGCTGAAATACTATGTTCAGTTACATTCCCTCTATACAACAATAGATGCACAATGTTTCTATTACTTTCAATTACTAAAATGAGAATAGATCATTTGATATGTGTATTTTCTGTTTGAAAAGACGATTTTTGGTGGAGGGGTAAGATTGAAGAGCATACACAAGGTATAGCATCTTGTACTTGGATATCTCTAAAATCCCCTTCCCTAGAGTTACCCTGTAAATATTGAAAAGATTTTCCTTCCCCTCCCCCAAGGTGAAATAGATGGGTAAGAGACAGGCATTTTTCTTGATAATAACCCTTTCATTTCTGTGGTTTTTAACCCCCTAACTCCTTTGAATGACCAAGCCAGAAATACTCCTTACAATATCAATACATTATCAAGTAGACAAGTGATGAGAATAAAGAAACATATCAACCAAGAGACTCTAAGTTGATTCAATACCAAATTCTCTGAACTAACATCATAAGAATTGTACAGCAGATAATATAGAGAATTACTAATGAGATCTAGGGACTGAAAGGATTAAAAGATAATCTGTAGTAAAGAACATGTAATACATAGTCTTTAATATTGTTTTCCTTTGTACTCTTTGAACAGATTTTAACATTTCTTTAATTATGTTAAACTTATTGTGTTGATGCTCTGTAGTGAGTTTTATATTAACTGTCAGTTGTTCCATAATCATGTTTGATAACAAAATAACTTTTAATAATATGATTTTAGTAACAAATGTCTGCACAAGTTCAAATTTCCTCTGTTTATGCAGATTTCAGTCCCATGTGAGGTTACTGGAGAATGAAGCGCACAAAGGCTCAGAGACATAATTTATACATTTTTGGCGCTCAAAAGGTACATGTAACCTTCACTCTGCTTTGGTGTTTGTGTAATTGCTTCTTATAATCTGCCCCGACATTGTAACATAAAGTAAGCATAGTTTATCATTGATTCACCTGGTGATCATTAGCCAATGGAAAAGGCATTGGCCAAGTATTGACACATTGGCAAGGAGTGGTAGGAGACCCCCAAAAAAGTCATTGTCTTGTAGTGCTGGATGAGACACTTTTCTCTTCTAGTAATATTCTTCATTTACCATATTTTCCTTTCCTCCTCCCCCCCTCTCCCCCCTCTCCCCCCCCCTTCTCATTCCTTGATTATCAAGAAGGTTCTTGGGGCGATTGAAGTAATGGTATTCATTATGAAATTTTTTAGTCAAGTTAAATTCAGTTTTGGAATGGTTACAAGATAATTTGATTTTATCTAATGAGGTAATAGAAATTGGCAGCAATTAAGAGTTTTAGGGTAAGCCTTTTGTCAGAAAATATGGTGAGGTTACTCTGTGGAATCTCAAAACTCAGACAATGACACACCTGTTTATTTACTTTATAATTTTAGAGATGAAAATTATGTTTTCTGGTCAGGGGCTATTTTCTCCTTTATTCTTCTTCATTCATAGATCCAAACACTCTGACTCAATTTCCTGCACCATCCTCTATATATTTATTTGAATTTTAGATCTAAGAACCATTTGTGAATCAAACAATATCTCAAAGTTGATATTCTCATTACATTTCTGCTTGAAATTGTCTGATATTGTAGAGGGAAATTTGGTTTTTGGTCATTCCTGGGAGTGAAAGGATTAGGGGTGAGGGGTAATCTGTGATAAACAACCATCCTATTTAGAGAAAGGTGTTTTTCATCTTGTCATGGGACAAAGAAAGAAAAGTTTGATTCCTCATGAGGAATTGAACCTTTGGATTCTGCACTCTGATGCTCTACCATCGAGTCACAGAGACTGTATGGTGATTAAGACCTATTACAAAGTTCTTATGACACATGTCCCACATACTGTTAGGATCAGCAATGTCATGTTTGTTAATAGAATAAGAGAGATGACAAGTTTTGAGGAATCGAACCTCAGACCTTCAGATTCCATGCTCCGGATGTATTACCACTGAGCCACAGAGACTCTAATTTTGAACAGAGCTTAGGAAATTGGAAGAATCTAATCCTTACATTATCTCATGTTGAGAAACAATAAACCTAAAACTTTAGTGTCAGAAGGCAAAAAGTTTAACCAGAAAAAAAACATCCTATTTAATATGAGAAGTAGTCAAACCCTTACCATGACTGCTTCCTGCTACAGAGTCAAGGCTAAGGTTTGGCAGCTAAAAGAGCGAGTCCCCTTATTTGCACAATCCACCAGATTGTAAAGGGTGACCTCCTTACTATGGTTATTAATTAATTTACTTTTCATACCTCAAAATGTATTTTCAGTCTGATTGAATTTATCAGGTTTAATTTGTTCCACTATGCAATCATTTTCCAGTTATCTGTAATATTTGACATAAAAGTGAA